GTCAACTGTTTCTTTCTTCTTCTTCTTTGAGTTTCTAATATTTTCTAGAGTTTCTTTTCTCTTCCCATTAAGAACAGATGAAGTAGTCCAAGTGGTGTGTTGAACGAAACCCTTCCCAATCTTTAACAAATCTATTTGTTGTTGGTCCTTGCTGCTCAACTTGTTATTATTCGAAACTAGCCTGTTAGTGAAGTCAGAAATGTCTCTTGATTGAATATTTGGGAATGGTGGTTGTTTAGTTTCCTTTCGCTTTCTAACCTTCTTATCACCTGCAGGAACTGTTTGGTTTGTTGATGTCTCACTGACAGTGACAGGCAAAAGATTATTGTTTGGAATGTCTTCTTCACCAATAGCAACAACAATATTGTTCAACCATTCAGTGAGAGAGTCTTCTTTATCTTGTGACATTTTTTTTGATGGGTTGACGTGCTCTGACAGGAGAACTTTCAAAGTTTTCAAGGCTAATTAAGGCAGTAATTTGCAACATTAAAAAAACTTTCCGAATCATCAAATAAAATTAAAAAATAAAAATTTCAAAAAAGCACAAATTCTATTACAATTTAAGATAACTTCAAGAAATTATCAGATAATCTATTGAATCCATCTTAATACACAACAGCTAGAGAGAGAAAGAGAATATGAAGGCTTCCGACGGATAACCAAATTCAAAAATTGAAAAACAAAATGCACAAGATTACCACCTCTTCGGAGAGTCTTAGATTTATTAGGCTTTTAATTATTATGATGATGATGATAATGATGATAATTGCACACTCCGAGTCGATATTAGCTAATAATGAATTAGTAGTAGTACTCCAACCACAAGAACAAGAGCATCATCAATATGTAATGGCCAACAATACAATTAATTCATCATCATATTCAGCTATTTATTATTTAGATTCTGAATTTCCTAATGTTGATGATTTGAATGCAACGTGTAGGGATGAGAATCAACCATGTTCCTCTCCGAGTCAAATTGTAAAAGCAGCAAACAATGAATTGGCAGAAATAATTAATCAAGGTAAAAAATTGGATAATTTCACAATGGTGATTGTAATTAATGGACTTATGCGAAGCTATGAAACAAATTTCGATTTTTCCAAATACGCAAATCGATTCGAAATGATATGGAAAGGAAAGGACAAGCAATTGTTCACTACTCGTGGCAATTTACAGGCATACGCAATTATTGATGCATTTACAATAGAGTTTGGATTCATTGGTGGGGAATTCTTACTATATAATGGAATTGACATTTCAAATT